ATCTTCAAAAAGAAAATCATCCAAGGGTAATTCATCAAAATCTTCCATGTTTTCTGAAACTGGGACACTTTGTACTTCATTTTCTACAGTAATTACTATAGGGTCTTGCTGTAAACTGTTCCTGTTATTTGAAGAATGTATGGTAGAATTTATGCTGGTAGTTTTGCTGCAATAACCACTTTCAAATGGGGCTTCATTTATCATTAATTCATCATTTTCCTCAAGACTTGCCAGAAGCTCTTCATCAGAAGGGCCTAGAACTTGGCCTACATCATCTGGAGGTCTTGAAATACCATATTCACCAGTATTTGATCTCACAGCATTAGGCCTATCAACTTCTTCTCCAATTAGCCCAGCTAGAACTCTTTCCATGCTATATTCCTCTACTAAGCTATCTACTTCACCTCCCAACAGTTTCACATTTTCTGGCTTGAGCAAAAGGACACCTAAACGATAAGCAACTATTCCATGTATCATGACTTTTGTACCTGGAGGGAGCCCACTATGGAGAACAGGAACAGGGTGGTATTCCATACCTTGAATGTGATGAATGCCATCAGTCAGGTGAAGCATCAGCATTCGAGTAGGCTTTGCCTCCCAGGACTTTGATGATACCTGTGTATTAGCAGTTATTTCCTCATTTATGGTATTTTTCCCTCTTAACTTCTGCAATTGTGAATAGGCAGGTTGACTCACATCAACAAGTGAATCAATTTGTATGGAATAAACCCCATTCAATTCACCTTTTGAATCATTTAAAATGCAGTCAGGCAAAACAGGGTACTGGAGATCCCTGAGGTCTGTAAGAAGCCACTGCTCAAAAACTTGCTTGTTAATAGAAGCCTGAGCCAAATTGCTACCACCATTTTCTTGCTGAATCCAGTCAATACATGCTTCGAGCCAAGGGGTAGGAACCTTTACATGCCATGTAGATGCTAGCCAAGTTTCTACTCTTACTGCAAGACTTGATGGTGTCATTTTCTTTTGACCATGTGTGAATGCCCTGAAATGAAAAACAACTTATTTGACTGAGCACAAAGATTTCCTACACAGCTGATTAAACAATCTATTTATTGCCCATGGAAGCTCATGCAGAAAATAAGTTGCCTTCTCAACTCTTATATACTTTAATTTGAAATTAAGCTACATTCAATCTAAGTGCTAAACTAGTCAAATACACTGCTAGCTACAAGTTTATTTTGGGAAAGAAGCAGTTACTTGTAGGTCAGTGGCTTTATTTCCTACTACTTCCAGCTGACTGATACACTACCAACTAGGAAAACGTAACACAATACTAACAGCCAAAACCTCTCATTCTCGATGCATGATTCACACTTATCTTACAGTTCCAGCCTATCATATTTACTTAGTATTTACTACCATGCATTCTAGTGCAGCATTATATTTCTCCAGTAGGAGAAATCTAGTACAATAATAGTGTCTTTTAGCATTAATAATCAAGCAGGAAAGAGAATAGGCCAGAAGCAAGCAACAAATATGGCAGGATTTATAAAATCAGCATCTGAACATGTGGTTCTAAATAGGCTTATCCAAACTACAGGAACTCAGTAGGACAGTTGATAAGCGTAACACAACTGTTCCTCAAGGTTTTTACTCTGAAGTAATTCCAGTAATTTAAATAACACCAATACAAGATTAATATTGTCTGAACAGCAAGCTGTGCATATATGCATATGTAAATCAGGTACAAATATTCAATAATAAGTAAAACAAAGTGCTGAATATGCAGGCAAAAAACACAAGTCCAAGATAGTTCTTAGCACTGTAATATGAGGAAGATACAGGGTTCCAAACTTTTTAATCCTGCTCAAGTTCCTGTAGCAATCTCAAAGCTATAAATTGAGGAGGAGGAGGAAAATGTCCACTGGGTACCAGGACAGAATATTTTTGTAAACTAGAGAAGGAAGTTATGTTTGGGATCAGAGAACGATTCAGTTGGTTGCTACAACAAATTCGTAATTTATAGTTGTACACTATTGAGATTAGTTTTTGTAAGTTGTTCGAACAGCTTCGAGAGGCGGGTTGTACACATACCTTCTGGCCCCTGAACTACTATACTGGACAATAATTCTAGAGAAAAACTTCAACCCACGAACAGTTATCCAAACAAAGAGCACCTTAAGGCTGCAATCCTAAACAACCGCTTAGGAGCAAGAAGTCCATTTAATATAGTACGGATTCCTTCTGAGCTAACATGCAGGAGTGGACCGGAGGGCTGCAATCCAAAAAAACACCCATTGTATTTAGCTTGGCTTACTTCTGAAGGAACACGCTCAGGATTGCACTGCATCGAAAAAAACCCGCAAGTCAGTGAGGTTTAAATCATTCTGAGTTTTGGTTTTTACCAATACACGGGTGGCCGCCATCCACTGACGGACACGCTCTTTCCTTTCCCAGCACCTCTAGAAAGGACGCCTTAGCTCGCAAGCCCCCGGCCGTGACAAGCCGCCGGAGTTCGTTCCACCATCACGTAGCTGAAGCCTTCCTCTTTCCCCCCTCCCCCTTTTGTTTTAAGCGGCAAACGACTCAAGAACCAAACTTCGCGGGCTCGCGAGACGTCAGCAGCATCTACTACAGCTCGCGAGGACAAGGCGGAGTTTTCGCCGCCGCCATCTTCTTTCTCTTTTCCCCTCACGTATACGACCTCCGGTCAGGTTTGTTCTCCTTGAACCTGATCAGGCGTTTCCTATAACCGTAACGAGTTGGACTGGGTGTGTTTTTTTTAAATACATTTATTATTACATGTAAGTATTATGCGTTATATCTAGAAGCTAGGAGAACAAGGAAATAAGGGAAAGAAGTAGATGGGGGAGGTTGAAAGCTGGCACACCATCAAAGCCACTGTTTTGGCCGGCCTGAGGCCGAGCTTGCGGCGTTGGCGCGCCGAGGTCCGCCACGGAGGGCGGGACTTGAGAGCACAGCTTCTCCTGGAAAAAGAAGGACGGCTGGGGCAGCCAATTGGAGATCCGCAGTGTATTAGCCGAGCCAATAAGAAGGCGGCCGTGCCTTGTGTGAGTGCGCGCGCGCCCTGCTTCTTTCCCTGCCTGTTTCGCACTCCCAGAGGCGGATTCGGTGGAGTTAGTGTGCTGCGTGGTAAGGAGCTGATAGGGCCTAAGTATAGGGTTCCAATAGTCTCGCATCCCTCGTGGCTGTGGGGAATAGATCTCTATGTATTGGGTTCTCAGCATCGGGCCTCAGGCGTTTTTGGTGTGTATTAGTAGAAGGGAAGGGTAGATTTGTCGCAAGGCTAATATTATTAAGCGCGGGCGGGGTGTTTCAGACCTTTTTCTTAGTTCTTTCCCTTGTCGCTTCCTTGTCTCCTCCTCCCTACTCTTTAGTCTGTCGCGTTTCTTACACTGGGTTCCGTAGCGGTAGCGAAAAGGAAGGCGAGGCGAGTAAAGGAAAGTGTTCGTCCTTTAGCGGTTGCTGCAGAAATCATGGCGGCTGAGGGGTGGAGGGAGAGAAAAAGCGGGGAAGCCAGAGGCGTTTCCTTCTCTTTGGGCCTGTGGAGCCTGACTGAGTCTGATCGGCCGGACGCTCAGTGTAATCTTTTTTTCTGTCCCCAAATGGGGACGGAGACGCCAGACCTCTTTTGTGTCTCTAGGGGCGGAGGGCCCGTCTCCTGGAGCCGCCGCGTGGCGGTACAGCTTCCGTTCCCGGCTCCTCCTAGAAGCTCGTGATCGCCATTACAGCGGAGGCTGCTGCTACAGCCGCCATTTTTAGTCCCGTTGCTTTTCAGCAAAAGCTCGTCAATGTTATACAATTGGACTTGCAAGATTCTTTTTCTCCCTCTCGCCTTGCACGGTCCTACCTCTATCCCATCCGCAGGTTGACGGTTTATGTAGAGGGGTAGCCGTTAAATCCTACCCGCCTGCACCTTTGAGGTTCTTAACTGGAGCGGCTAGGTTTTGTGTTGTAATCCATCCTGTCTGCTGCGGGAAGAGTATAGGAGATCTTTCTTGTTGCAGTAAAGAATGAAATTAAAACCGAAGGCTTGTTATTACGGCACCCTCTCCCCTTTAACATAGAGGCATTATTCTTAGATCGTAATCTCGTTTAGCGCTACCTGCCTAGAATAGCAGTTGTTTTGCTCTGTTGCTAACAACATTGTGAACTGTTACCGTCCAGCGATATCCTTTATTGTAGAAACTGAAATTCTTTTGGAATCGCGATTGTGTGCGTTGGTTGGTTTTCGGTTGCACTTTATGTAGTTGTACCAAACACAAAGACGTAAGAGAAACTCGGTTTTATTTTTGGCAGTAGTAGGCCTATTAATGACAACAATTTTACTTCTATTTCTTATTGAGTGTTGCTGTTTCTTATACTTAATGCACCTTACTGTAATGATGACATTCATTGCAAGACTAAAAACATTAAGTTTCTCTTGCTCTCGAATTACTGACCTGAATTTATGTGCATTATTTCAGGAGGCAAAATTTAATTGGATGGAGAAAATATTTTTTGTATGTTAAATGCTGAAGTATTTCCAAGTGAAAGTTGAAATTACAAAACTGGTGATACTGTTTGCTTTATAGAACTAATCAATGCAGGAATATTCACATACAGAAATGACCTGCTTCCTGGAACAAGTCAATTTATCTGCTTTAAGAAAAATGGAACTGTAGTTAGGATTTTTTCCAATTAAAATAAGTTAAGATTTTCTAACGATTAGGCTGAAATTGACCTCCAACACTTTTGTAAACGGCCCAGAATTGTTTGGCTATTAAGCATTATAGAAATAGAATAGATAACAATTTATCATTTCCTGATTGCAGTTGTTTGCAAAAAATTTTGGTATTGATCGATAATATCACTTTTTGGCAAAAATGTTTGGTAATGCACTCGTTGATACATGCTTGTGTACCTTTTATTTTAATTCTGGAAACCTAATCAGTAGGTTTCTGATTATTTCTAATTCTGGAAACCTAATGGAGACCAACACCTTCATGTATGTTGTTTTTCATAGGCTGTCTGATCTTTTGAGCCCGCCCAGAACACTTAAGCTTTGCTTGGTGAAGCTATATAATATTGGTGAGTGTTGGAAACCAAATATCCCCACCCCATTCTAGCTGCAGAGTTTGCTGCTTTCTTCAAAGCATTTTAATGTAATTATTACTTGACAGGTTTTATTCACAAATCTAACAATAATGGAGACTGAACAGCAAGAGGAGACCTTTACTAATACAGAAACTAATGGTAAGTGTTCTTCTATTAAACCTTAAATTACAGTTCTTGTTGAGTTAACATAGTAACTATAGAACTTAAACAAGTTATTCTAAATTATTCTGAATATACTGAATTATTATTCAGCAATACATATTGTAACTGCTGGATGAGTAAATATTTAATTTTTAAGCTGTGTATACCACTGTTGTGCACTCTGAAAAGGAATATTTTAATTACCTAGCTGGAGTGACTGCGTGAGAGAGACAGAAACAGATAGAATGTTTCATGCAGTTCTGTCCAATGTCATATAAGTGGTCTTTCGCTCATGTAATAGGATTTCCCCTTATACTGTTCTTCCACTGCCCAGCAGATCTGCTTTGGAGCTGATTGGAGGGGAAGGGCTGTAGGGGGAGAAGGAATTCATTCTACCAGTGTTGTTGGTTCTATTGGAGGCTAAAGAAAATGTATTTTTCAAAACATCTCAAGATATTGAAACATCTGGTAGTATGTAAAAAAATTATGGGCTGAATATGTTTCATCTGTGGATACTTAACATCATTATAGGAGTAATCAAAAGTTTTCATTGACTTAATTTATTGTATCATATGTTTGTCCCTTAAACAGGGTTTGGATAGCAATTGGTCTATATTGCTGTTGTTGCAATTTGTGTAAAAGATAAAATAGCTTTTTTATCTTTTCCAGTAATTGCACATGACTTTGTATCTTCTCATAGCTCTCAACAAAATTGGGTATTGAGATCCCAAAGAAGTTAAAACTTAATCTGATTTGATACTGAATGGAAATATCTGTTAATTTTTTTGTTAATGTTGTTCAGCAGTGATAGCTGGTACCTAAATTAATCTTAATTACTAAAAGATGAATTTGTAGTTTTAAAATGTCATGGGTAAGAGCCATTAATCAATACATGTAATGAAGGTACATATACTTTGCTGTTGAGAGCAGCAAAAACTTTTTCATTGTTTTATTCTCTAAATTATTAGGCAAACGTCCTGCTGAAGATATTGAAGAGGAACAGGCCTTCAAAAGGTCTAGGAATACTGATGAGATGGTGGAATTACGCATTCTGCTTCAGAGCAAAGTATGCTACAAGGTTTTTTTTTTGCAAACTATGTACATGGTATTTTGCTTAGATTATTCACATTAGAGAATCTGTGTTTTGTCTAAGGATATATGAATACTGTTATGTTTCAAAAGATGAACACAAAACATTCTTGCAAAGCAGTCAGATTTCTTGGAAGAACTCATAGGCGCCCGTCTAGCTTGAGCTTTTCTGCCTCATTTACTTTTTAAAATGTGACCAAAGTGTATGAAATAAGATACTCACCTGTCTCACACGTTCAAAATAAGCCAGTCTGGCTTAAGTCATTGTGGCTTATTTTCAGTTGTGATGCTTGCAGGGCACCACTTTTCATGTTATTTGAATCTGGGCACCATAACTTGGTTGAAAGGAGAAAAGAACTATTCATTAACATATGGGCTCTTTAAAATGCCACTCTGGCTCATTTTGGGCATATGAATTGGCTTTTATGTCAGTTTCTGCTTCCTTATTTCCATCCATTTTTCTCTGTTTGACATTTTTGGGAAACTAACCTCATGTGTAACCTTTTTAGAATGCTGGAGCAGTGATTGGAAAAGGTGGCAAAAACATTAAAGCACTTCGTACAGACGTGAGTATTTACAAGTTAAACATTGATTATTTTGCAGAACATGGCATTTAGGGCAGTTTATGTAAACTTTGGTAAAATTATGTAGGTGTCTAGTAGAAGCCATTTGTAATTATTTTAAGCTGACGTGCCAGGATATTCCATTGATATAATAATTAAAAAACAGAATAAGTCATATGGAAAGATTCCTGTCCCTTACTTTACAAAAGCATTACACTAAAATGTGTATTTTATTGACTTGCAGTATTGAAGAGCTTAACTTTTCTATTAAAAATAATTCAGTTTCTGGAAGATACTACATATTCTTTACCCAGCTATAGGATGATCTTGGTTTAAACGATCTATCTCTTGGGAGATGAATGGTCAGACTGGCATGATTTTATGTATGGAAAAAGAGCACTGTAGATGCTTCCTAACCTGGAAGGAATTTTCAATAAACATGACTTGACTTTTTTTATAGTGGGTTGACTCTTGTGAATAGACACTAAGCTTTGTAAAAAGCAATTTCTTTATTGTGCATAATCTTCAGTATTTTATAGTAGTAATTTTGGTATTTAATGAAATATTTGGCACTATATCATTTCACATTGTGTTTGATATTTTCATTATATTGTAAAATAAACTCCTGCAGAATGTTATAACTGTCAACTTTAGTTACTAGATCTGAGGTACAAGCAAGAACTGGTTAGCAACCGCATGTACATTAACTGACCTTTCTGAAGCTAGTGTACTTAAAAATTCACCTAAATCCAGATTTCATACATATAATTCCTGGATTAGTGGCTTTCCCAATTTTCCCAGGATTTCAGTAATCTGAATCTCTGCATATTTTGTGTCTACCCTCACGAGCCAGCCTGCTACTGCAACTTATAATGTTAAAAGTAGTTTAGGCCAAGTAACTCATTTTTACAGTCCATAACTGTTAAGCCACAGTCAATGTAGCTATCCGTTATTGTGTTAGTCTTCAGAACAACTTAAGCTTGTTTCATTGAGAGTACTGAGTATAGTTTGTATTAAATTAAAATTTATTGCTTTTCCCCCTCTTCCCTCTCCTTGTTTTTTTGGCCATATATCTCTCCGTTGCCCATGTACTGGATCGACTTGCCCCTGCGTTGCCCACCATGACGTTGGCCCATCCGCCCCTGAACGCCCATGTGAAAACCCTGGTTGGCTATGCCCAAAAATGTGCTCGTTGCCAAACGGGTGCCTTACTTGACAACTTCTGATTGAATGCCCATGCCCAATGCCAACATCCACGAACGCCAATGACCAATGCAGTACAATGCCAGTGTTTCAGTCCCAGACAGCAGTGGCCCCGAGCGGTATGTCCCAACAGTTTATGCCTCACTGCCTGATTAGAAAGAGAGAAATGTATATTATTACCTGCCTTTATATAATTAAATAGTATCCCCGTAGACGGTGTATTGTTTTTTAAGTTTTCTGTCTTATTTTCCCCATTAAGTCTTTTTTGTCACTGAACTTTTACGTGAGTTGCCCACCCAACAATCCACTAATTTTATTTCAATGGAAGGAGCACAGCTTCAATTGTATATTTGCTGCATTGTAAATCAGATTGTTTCAAAATAGTCTCTCGCTCTGCTCTGTCTTTGTGGCCCACCTTGCTCCCCCAGCATTGCCTGTTCATAATTTTTTCTGATGAAATGCTAACTCCTGGTTCACTCTTTCACTTCTCATTTGTGTTGTCTTTTTTGTCTTGCATTTGTATTCGTTTTCTTGCAGAGCCCATTAGTAATCTAATTTCTAACTTGGTCTCATGACCCTATTCCAAATACAATGTTCACAACTTGCATATTCCCATGTCTCCTATGAGAAGGTGTGCCAGTTTAACAATGTAACAGCGAGGGTGTCCTAAATTAATGGTGGCGGGGAACATGAGTATTCACTCCCACTTTCAGTTCTTCGTCAGTTTCTTGTCCACTTAATCTTACTCCTTTCACAAAGCTCGTTCTCTATCTCCAAATCCTTGTTTTAAACTTGTACCATTTATATTATTGGGCATAAACAAAGGTGCATGTGCTGTAACTTCAGTAAGCAGGCTTACTTAAGTGGGGAATATTAACTAAGTTCTACTCAATAAAGTTGACTTAAAATCTATACAATTATGAATGCACAACTTACTTTACTTTTTTCCCCATTTTGTTTGTGACACCTGAACCTTACTTGACAGCATACTGAGTATAAGTGCAGATATTGAAACTATTGGAGAAATTTTGAAGAAAATTATTCCTACTTTGGAAGAGGTAAGTTTGCAGCTTACAGGATAATACATCTGAATGACTTTGAGTGAGTTTCATTTTCTGCAGCTAACACTCCATATCTGTATGGAATGAAGCTTTCTGCTGGCGGTGAGTGTATCTAAGAATTGTGTGTTTTGTGCATCAAAGCAAATTAAGTTTAATTTTACATGGTATGTAGGAATATAGGAAGTTGCCATGGTTCTCTTAATCATGACATGTGGAGTGTTAGAGAGCTGAGTCTTAGTAAGTGGTAAATGTTGTTTGGTGGAATCAGAGAAAAGAAACAGGATATTGTGCTAAATTAAACATGCTAAATCTGGAAATTCATACAGTTGGACAAGTATATTGTAACTATTTAAAATGGGTATTATTTCAAATGTACTTTTTAATGCATTTGTCATTCTCTGCTAATTCTATCTGTAGTATCAACATTACAAAGGAAGTGACTTTGACTGTGAGTTAAGGCTGTTGATTCACCAGAGTTTGGCTGGAGGAATAATTGGTGTCAAAGGAGCTAAAATTAAAGAACTTCGAGAGGTAACAATTCTTTTTTGAATTAAAGTTTAGTATTTTGAAAATACTTTCTTGTTGACCATCCTGTTTGATACAGTTAGTACATATTAATGGATTAAGTTATGGGAAACCTTAGCTTAAGGGGCACATGGGCTTAAGCAGTATGACAACTCATAAGTGAGCAGGATGTGGTGTTGTGTTGTGTGAACCTGCTGGGTAGCTTGTTTTAAGAACATTTTGCTGCATAGCTTGTTTTGTGGGCAGCAGGACAGCCTGACAACTGATGGCCTTTAGCAGTGGGTTATTGGGCCCATTATGAGTTGTTGTGTCATCCAAACCAGGCCAGCATTACCCCAGCATGGTGCAGGAAGCAAAAATTGAGCCATTAGGCACTCCCCCCCCCCACTCTTGCTTAGTTCATCTAGTCCACTGCCAGCTGCTTTAGGATTGCACTAAGTAACAGTCATTACTGGTTCAGTCTCCCACTAACCATGATCCCTTTTTGGATTGTTGCAACGTTCCCTCAGTTTTTAACTATCTCTGAAGTGACAACTTCTCCAGGGTGGCACATCGGTGAAGCTGTAACTTGTTAGTGATTCTGTCCTTTGGCCTGTCCATCTGTCCTTGTTTTTTGTTCTCAAATTTCACACAAATGTCTTTAGATAGATAGATAGATAGATAGATAGATAGATAGATAGATAGATAGATGATACATACATACATACATACATACATACATACATACTTCAGTCTAGCACAATACACATGTGCTCAACTTCAAGAGACCTCACTTAAAAGCCTTGCCAGTGTCTCTTTTCAGAATACAGGAGTCATCATCTACACAGATGAAAGAAGACTACAAGAGGTTTATTTTGTACTTTCTTGACCACTGTCAAAGGGCAAGCTATCAAAAGTTGTGAGTCGTCATTGCTTACAAAAGGGGGTGGTCTATGGATCACCCACATCATAGCAAGATCTTCCTGGAATTTGGAGGTACTTTTGGTGGACCTCATCTCAGTGTCTTCACAGTTTTCTACCATTTTTCCAGATTTAGTTGCTTGGGAAGGAGGAAAGGTGTGACCTGCCCCACCTATGAGTGCACAGAATTTTGATAGTTATCTGTCAAAATTCAGGTTGCTTTTTAAAGGGGATTTTAAGTGGGCTGCCTGTATTTTTTTTGGCCAAGACATATATGCATATTGTACCTGTTGAAGAAACTATTTCGGGAAAAAAAAAAAAAAACTTTGTAGAGGCTTTCAGTACTTTTATAAAGAAAAGAAGCAGGAGCTGGCCAGTACAGAAGTGTTTGCAGCTGGTAAGGGGAAAAAGGGGAAGAAATGAGTTCTGCCATGGAGTCTTGTGGCAGGAAAGAGTGCGGGACAACCCATTGTGAGTCTGATTTGTTGGATACACTGAATATACAATGTAGCTTATGATGTTTGAGCCTTTGCTAAGTTGATAATAGTGCTGTCAGTAAGTGACCCCAGGCAAAGAAACTGTTACCAAGGTAATACTTTCATCTCACCATAGTTTGGCTTGTGGCTATATGTAGATATTGATGCTTGATTAATACGAAGCTCCAGCCAAAACTTTTCCCATACTTGGGACAGGTAGTGCCCTAACTGAAGCTGCACCCATATTCCACAGACCCATAGGACCATGCATACTTGCAAAACATTCCACTTCAACTTTCAAAACCTGTTTGATGCCTATAACAGGGAGATTATTTGGGTGGCTCCTGGTGGTTCACTCATGGCTGCCAGAGCTTAGTTCTGTCTTTGACTTCATGAGGATTTGTAAGTAACAAGGCAGGTTTTTGTTTGTTTACTGAGCTTAGATGCAAGAAAACGGTACAGCTGAACATCACTTAATCCATTTGAAGATCTAATTACTTTGATTTTTTCCTCTTCATGGGGAGTGTGACTTTATTAAGTCTCTTAAATGCTTCATGGCAGATGATAACAGCAGTAGTATCTTTCTGGGCCACTTTCTCCTACCTCACTGGGAGTTTATGGTTATTCCCCATAACAACTTGAGTGATTCTTTAGGTCAGGTCTGTGGACCGGCACCAGTCCGCTGGCATTTCCTGCTGGGCAATGGAAGAGCTGCTGTCATGTGTGCACACAACAGCTGCACCTTGCTTGCTAGGACCAGTGTGGGGCTAGGTCCCCACCTCTTCCTCAGCCCTCCTAGGTTGTGGAGAGGAGAGACACCCCAGTATGAGACAGTGGTCCGCCCCTCTGGGCGGGCCCCAAAGACTGGGTCTTTTCCCTTCCCGGCTATGTTTTCTAGCAGAAAGGGAAATGCTGAGGCGGGATTGTGCTGAGCATTTTCTCAGGCAGGCTGTGCTGGTGTGTATGGGGGTTTGAGTAAGTGGGGTTCATTATATTATTCAACATTATGAATATTAAGTAAATTTGTTTGATTTTGTATTGCTCTGCTGTTAATATTTGAATTTCTATTTGCATTGAGTATAGTATTGCATTTATATTGATTTTGTATTTTGCTATTGTAAATTTTTTGATCAAGTATTGAAAAAAACAGCAGATTTTGCAGTAGTCTTATTTGAATTATATATTGCTCTTTCAAAATTTCAGTTGTATTCAATTACATTTAATTTAATATTTTGTTAGCATTTTTATTGCTCAGTTTCTGGTTATTTTGAGAATTTTCATGTTTGGTACTATATTTAAAAACTAATATGCAAAATGCTATATTATGTATATTATGCTTTTTATTTCTGTCTCAGCAGTCCCCAAAATAATTTCCCTATTTTTGTCAATCCCCAACTGTAAAAAGGTTGAAATCCACTGCTCTAGATGTCTCCTTTCTTGCCCATGCTGCCTTAATATTTGTCTGAAACAGCTGGGTGAGGTCATCCAAGTTCTCCAGCTAGAAGTAAAGCCTGAAAATTGCTAACCACAAGAGTCACAAATGTGAATGGCTGTCAAAGAGGATTAGAGAAACTCATGGAGGATAAGGCTGTCAGTGTCTACTAGTCATGTTGGCTGTAAACTGATTCCAGTATCAAAGACAGTACAGCTGTGTATATCATCTGCCAAGGAACATGACTAAGAGAGTTGTTTCTCATGCTTACCTGGTAGACTGTGCTGTGGATAAAATGCAGATCTAGATGGACCCTTGGTTTGATCTAGCATAATTCTTATAAGATGCCAGTTTTGTTCTAAAATCTTATATGGGTTGGGACCAGCGTATTAAATGATACATTACTAATAGATCACAAATTGTGACACATCCAATGGTTATTGGAAGGATGTTATTTTTCTTCATTTAGGGTGGTTTTTTTTATTTAAGCTGTATGCAGTACACAGCAGGGGTCCTCACTGCAGTGCCCATGAATGCAGTGGCACTAGCAGGCATCTCTTGAGCACCCTGAGAAGGAAATGTATTACTCATATTTATTTATTCTATTTTTGAATACGCATACAAATCATGGAATGCATAGAGCTTTCTAGCAATTATACATCAGTTTTGATAAAGCGGACCAAATATCCAAATAAGCATTTGTTTGAAGGTAGTGTCTGTATGTGAACTGTCCAATATTGTTGCAAAATCCACAGTCTGTTGCTTTTTAGAATGTGAGTGCCTATTTCAGTTTGTAATATTAATCTCTTGTCAAACTGGTGTAGGTACCGTTTACACTGACAATTGGTTAATTTCTATGAAGCAGGTAAATTTAAATGTGTGTGTACTTCGTTTACTTAACAACTGTTCTAATACAAAACGTACTTACGTAGTAATGTCCCCCTCAAAGAAGGAAATCACTCAGTATTGCCAAAACATATTTAAAAGAAACATTAGTTGTAGTGCACCATCAACAATTAGTTGCTTATGAAAGAAATGTTGCATTGTTCAATAGATATGAAAAAGGCTTTTGCTGTGTAAGATGATACCTAAGAGTCATAGATAAAAAGCAACAATTCATTGGAGAGGCATTTTTGTGGTGGTGCCTGCAGCAATTTCTCATAATCTCAAATATGCTTGCAGATCCATCAAAGGTTGGGGACCCTGACATAAAGACTCTTTTGCAGTGTAACTTTAGATTGATGAAATTTCCATAGTTTTTCTGGGTGTAAAGAAATGAGTGAGAGCAACTTCTGGTCCCACTTTTTGGTAATGAAGTCCCATCTTGCCTTTGGAAAAAACTGTTGAGAGCAGATTGGCACTACAGTGGGGTTTGTGAGAGTTAAGCATGCTGAATCTACTCAACTAGATTTTGTAAACTACTTGAATTTGTGAAAGGGTGATTTGTTTCAGAAAGCTTTGATAAATGAAAGATAAAGGCAAATTTCTATATTGTTTGGAAAGGTGGTAACATGCAAAATATAGGTATGTCAATCACTGCAAGATCTATGGAGATAAATTTTAGGAGTTACAAGGTGTGTGTCACAGTTTGTGTCTAATAAACCTCTGTGCAACATACAAATCTTAACAGCAAACTTTGTTAAATAATATCAACGTGTCTTAAGAGTAACAGCTAGTTTTAAAACATTTGTACTATAACTTTCTTGGCAGAACACTCAGACCACCATTAAGCTATTCCAAGAATGTTGCCCTCATTCTTCTGACAGAGTGGTACTAATTGGTGGAAAGCCTGATAGAGTTGTGGAATGCATCAAAATAATATTGGATCTTATATCAGAGGTAATTTAATCTAGGAAACATCATTTCACATATTTTTCCCATGTGCTCTTTTTGTGCAAAACCTAGTTTCTTTGTGCATTAGAAACAGTTTTCTTAGGCTGTAGAAGCAATTTTAGAGTTCTAATTCAAGTTTTAGGGAAGTGTATGATTTCTAGAAATAATATCTATGCATATTTATAGACTGGGTAGTCTTTTCATTGGTACTGTGTAGGCAGGCAAACAAGTTATTTAGAAAGGCTTTTGAGCTGACTTGCTTGATAGATTAGGTTTTAACTGGGACGTTCTGTTTATTTTATTGATGTGGTGGTAATTGTTTTGCTTTTATGTTTCAATTATACTTTTATATTTTAGTTTTGTTAACTTTTGTAGTATCAAAGTCATGATATAAATTTAATATCTTTCAATGGGTTGACTATGTTGAAAATACAAAACTTTTTTTCATTTTAGTCACCAATCAAAGGACGTGCACAGCCTTACGATCCAAATTTCTATGATGAAACATATGATTATGGTGGATTTACAATGATGTTCGATGACAGAAGGGGACGTCCTGTGGGCTTTCCAATGCGTGGCAGAGGGGGCTTTGATCGAATGCCCCCAGGGCGTGGTCGCCCCATGCCTCCCCGAAGAGATTATGATGACATGAGTCCTCGCAGAGGTCCTCCTCCTCCTCCTCCAGGTCGTGGTGGTAGAGGTGGTAGCAGAGCACGCAATCTTCCTCTTCCTCCTCCTCCTCCTCCCAGAGGCGGGTAAGCTAAAAGCTTTCATATAGCAATATCACATTTCAGTATCTGGAGGTGTCATTGTGGGAGTACATAGAACCTAATACTTGGAATTGTATTGCACACAAGTTTTAGGTAAAGTTGAAATGGTTTTGGAAAATGGGATTTGCCAATTAATATGTATTACTGAAAATTAATTTACCCATATCAACAAATTATCTTGCTTATATAACTTAACTGGGGACTTAGTTCATTTGTGTTGAATTGAGAGTGAGGTACAGATGTATGGGTGAATTTTCAGCATAACAGTAAATAAAATCTCTCATTTTGTCTTAAGGGACCTTATGTCTTACGATCGAAGGGGCAGACCTGGTGATCGCTATGATGGAATGGTAAGTCCTGTTTAGTCAGAAAAAAATTGAATACTTAAATACACTCTTTATTAGGGTATTAGCTTTCACTGCAAGAACATAAAGATAGAAGAACCCTTCAAAAAGTATTACCTTTCAGTGGATGTTATAATTATGGCTGATTACTGATCTTGACTTTGTGAAGATATAAACGGGAAATCTTAATTGTTACACTTCTCTAAAGGTTTCAGATGGAGCATGTTGTGCTGCTGGCAATCTATTTGGTGCATAAATATTTAAAAGAACTCAAGCTACAAAAATGTGTGGTGATTTTCAGCTCTATAGTAGGGACTAGAATGTTATTCTGAATGCCTTTTTTCAAAACAAGAGCATGCTCCTAAAATCTGTTTCTGTAGGGGAAAGCAATAACAGGCTAAGTGAAATATTTAGAGTTTACCAGTATTACCCATTTTTATAGCACATGTCTGCATGCAGTCTTGTTTTGCCAGTGAGATTTCTGTGCTGGATCAGTAGCCTTCGATTGAGGACCATTCATGGGAGGCAGTCTAGATTCAATCATGTATATTAAGGAATTGAAAAAGAAACACCAAATGGTGCTTTTAAACAGAATCAGGAAAATGTGCATTTGAGTGTCACTGCCAGATATTAAAATAATCCCTATATATATTAGACAGATGCATGGCTTGTGACTAAATTTACAGAATAGGAGCAAAGATTATATTTTATAACAGCTTTTCCAGTCAATGTGCTTAACTGCAAGCACATTTTACCTGCCTAACTGCTTCAGCAATTTTTTTCAATAATTAATGAGCACTATTTGGATTATGTGTGAGTACTATACCTTGCATTTTTGGATTGCAGCACAAAATATGGTGACTGAGAATACTGTCACTTTACTTTTAAGAAAATATTTGCAGTATATTCACATTGGTGCGATCCAGAAAATTTTCCAACTGGTTTTTGGTGAGGCTAATCATATCTAAGTTTTCAGTCCTTATAGCCACTTAATATGGAAATAAATGCAACTCACTTCAGTGGTAGTAAGTGCAAGATTATTTCAGTGTGCTCATGTGCATCTTTCACTTACATATTCCTGGGAACTATTGGCAGTATATAGATTTTCAATAATTGCCTTTTTACCAGGAAGAAAATAATATAGCAATACATTACTGAATTCTTGTGACTTGGTTCCTCTATCTCTATGGAAAGATGTCTAAAAAGAAAAAGCAAATGTCTCTTGCTGGCTGGGTGATAGTCTGGCAACTGTTTCCTACAGTAAAGCATTAGTATCCTTTGGCACAAGCAAAGATGGAGGATGACCAGGCTTTGTATTACAGGCATTCTAAGAGAAGTTCTTTAGGTGTTAGAGATATGAGTTGGATCCTGACTTTGATTCATTGGTGTTTTGACGGTGTGGGGGAAGGCATGGTTTTCTCCCATTCCTCCTCTAGCATTTAAGTGCCGTCTTCCACATTGTTCTGGAACATTGGAAGTCCCTCCAGATGAGTGTCAGATTTTAACTACTTGCCATCTGAAAGAAGCGTGGGAGTCAGTGAAAATTGTCATTCCATCCCCTTCCTTCACTGGGAAACTCTGGATCCAGGTTCCCTCTACAAGCAAAAGGAGCCCTTCATGTTGGCATAGTCTAGATTCAGCCACATGAATCTGTATGATATTTTGGACTGCAGAGCTATAGTTGACTGTAGATTAAATGCATTCTTCATATGAATGTGAGCTTTAAATTGCTGCTTTTCCAAACCCATATTCTCATCTTGTTTGCATAATGAAATACTATATGAAAATAATAATTTATATAGTTTGCAATAGATATAAAGGTCAGTGAGTTAGATCTCCTGTGCTTGCTTTTCACGTGGTTATACCCTGTGTACAGGTGCATATATCTTTCTGGATAACTTGTGTTTATGTGAAGACAAAGACTGCTGGTGGTGTTTTCCCTGTTGTTCACTTTGTTCATTTTGTTTTCTGTTTCTTTTTGTGCTGCACCCTGTTTGACAAGATGATGCAATGTCATGTTAATGCTTGTGATGACATAGAAACACCAGAAATGGTGAGTACATTTAGTATCTGTTTAGTTAGATTTGATCTCTCGCAGCTTTTGGGGAGAATTTATTCACCATTGCCACTAAAGCATTTTCTTGATTTCCTGACACAGTGGGAGGGGCTGTGAGGAGTTAAGTTTTGCTATTGCACTGCACATAGCATAAAATTTCAATTTGTGTGTGTTTGCTGAGTTTTAAGCAAGTAAGGCAGCAATCCTGTAATCAACGTAACTGGAAGTAAGTGCCTTTGAACTCTGGAACTTCTTAATGAATGATTCAGGATTTCACTGCAATAATACTTGGCAACATTTCCCCTTGACTCTTCTTCTGGAGAGTTGTATTTGATTTATTAATAGAGAGTGTAAATACTTTGTTGAGATAAGTTGCTCCAAAAGATTACCCAGCAAGTATTTAATTTGTGCTGGAATACCCTATATATGTTGTATGGACAGTTTGGGAGAGGACATAAAGCATCACTTTGAACTGTTAAGGTATTTTAGCTTTTTTTATTCCTTAAACTTAAGTAGTAATCCAGTCTTCCTAATAATTTTCTGAAATGTGTGTACATCCACTCAGTTTTAGGTCTGGAAGCTTAAAAGCTTTCATTTTATTCTATTCCACTTAGATATGTTATGTTTTGGACAGGGTTGTATGATAGTGCTTGTTTCTGAAAGCGTGTGTACAGACCCTCATTTTGAGCAAAAAAAAGTGACAAGCCATCTCATACTAGCCTAATTAAACCTGAACTGTAAAACTTGCCTGACTAGAATCAAGTATTCTTCAATAACAACTACTTCATATCAGAATTGATTTCTCTAAATCTGATTTAGCATACTTCATGCAGTTTCTTAATCACAATGAAAATATTTTAGAGACATTTATTTGTAGTGGCTTTTTCCAAGCCTTGAGAAAGGGGTTCTGTAATGTGGCCTTTTCGCCGCTCTCCTACATGCAACGTCTCAGTCTGTAAGGTTGATAATATCTGGAGCATGGCTTTCTTTTTAATGTCCTGAAGGATGCATGGGTACATAATCCTGTGGTTTTATGACAATTCAAATTAAATATATTTTCCCAACACATGGAATTTTATTGTGTCAGTCTAAATTACAGTCACTAAGAACAGTTTTGTTTTGTTTTTCTTTTAAATAGTTTGAGGGTGGATCAGGATATGGTAAGTTTTTATGCATATATATATCTAGTACACAATTCAGTTTGTTCATTAAAGGATTAGATGCATACGTTTTAAATTAGATTATTCTTATGCAGGGGGTCGTGGCTCCTACGGCGATCTTGGAGGACCCATTATTACAACACAAGTAACAATACCCAAAGATGTAAGTATATATATTCTTTTTAGTTAAAATGTTTTTCAATAAAACTTGAGGCATGTGGTTTTCTATCTTATGCAATGTGTTGGACTTAAGACTATCTCCAGGTCATATTTTATGATTGGATTCTGTTTTGAGTATAAAAATAATAGGTGATTTTCATTTTTGCTCTTGCACTGGTTACTGAACATAGTGACCAAGTTTTTTAATTACTTGTTACATTGTAATTGCATATGCTGGGGCAATAGCTTAGTGGTATGCTAGAATATTGAATTATAAGCCGCTGATAAATAAATGAAGAATCTTTCTTTATAGCTGGCTGGCTCTATTATTGGAAAAGGAGGCCAGAGGATTAAACAGATACGCCATGAATCAGGAGCTTCAATCAAAATTGATGAACCCTTAGAGGGCTCAGAAGATCGGATAATAACTATTACAGGCACACAGGACCAGATTCAAAATGCACAGTATTTACTGCAAAACAGGCAAGTTGCCATTCAGCTGCATCTGTGATTACATATAGACTTCTTACTGAACTTTCTCTTTTGTATAATACATCTTTTTGTAAGACAGCATCTGTAAACATTAAAGTAATAGTTTATACTAACTTCTGCACTTGGTAGTATGCCTTTCTCTTCTGTTTTTCATTCTTACTCAATGAAGACACCCTCAAAACTAATCTTGCTGGAAGTGACTCTAACCAAGCAGTCCTCATTTCTCTGGTGAAAACTGCTGCAAAAAATCTACTTGTAATCTATTACATAGAGCCTGTAGAAAATATAGAAGATTTCAGTGGATGTTGGTCTAGTTCTGTGTGGAAGACTAGTGATTTTGTTGTTTTTAGATAACTAAATCGACAACAAATCGCAGTCTACCATATGGCACAGGCCATGCCTCTACAGGACAAGTTGACTATTGGTGCTGTTAATGCAGCATTTCACACCTCACTGGCATTGCTTCCTTTTCTGCCATTTATAACAGCTTTAGATTTTACTTGCTTTGTTTCCTTTAACATTAGCTGTCTAGTGAGCATCTTGTAATTTATAGTTCTAATGTTTGATTGTAGATAGCTACTAATTATAAATTGTAATATTTTATCCAATATGTATTGTTTGCTTTTATTAAACTTTTAAATGTATTTGTGAATATTGATTCAAGTTGTTTGTGCAACCATTCTAATACATGCCTTTTTTTTCTTTTTCCTTATAGTGTGAAGCAGTATGCAGATGTTGAAGGATTCTAATGCAAGATATTTTTTCTTTTTTATAGTGTGAAGCAGTATTCTGGAAAGTTTTTCTAAGACTAGTGAAGAACTGAAGGAGTCCTGCATCTTTTTTTTTTCTTAAATCTGCTTCTGTTTAAAAAGCCAACATTCCTCTGCTTCATAGGTGTTCTGCATTTGAGGTGTAGTGAAATTTTTGCTGTCACCAGATGTAATGTTTTAGATCTTTACATATTAGGTGGGTGGGAGTGGGGTGGCTTGCGAAACTAACATTGGTATTTTGAAACAGCAGCAGAGAAGGTGAATTTTATTTTTGTTCTATGTTGGTTGTAAACTGTAATGTTTTTTCTGTCATTTGTGAACCATCCGCTTTATACTTTTTTCTTTGTTTTGAACAAGAGTTGGGGAAGAAAGTACTGGTTGGTAGTCCATTTACCTGGCATCCATTCAAAGCAGTGTGCAGAATGTAATGCTCTTTTGTAAGATGTTTTATGATTTTAAAAATAAATTTAGTGAACCAATTCTTGTAGTCATTTCTTTACGCATTATTTCAGTAGCTAACACCATCTACACCTCATTGGGCTTGGTTTTTTTCCCTTTATATACCAGAGAAGCAGAATACCCAATTTCAGTGTTTGGCAAATGAGGAGTATTGATGATAATGCACTGACTCCAAATGTTGGTATGTGTTGAACTGAAAAATGTTACTAATGTATGCCCCTAAATATTGTATTGCAACATGTTGGTTTGAATAAAATCTTGCAAAACTTGTTTTCTAATGACTAGCAAGTAGAGAATAACAGAAATTTAGTAATTTCTAGCCTTGGCATTTTTGCCCTTATACAATTGTAACTTGTTAAATATGTTTCCATTGTATAAAGACTTGAATGAAACCATTGTATCTTCCAGTTGATTTGCATAGGAAATGTGTGCAAAATCAAAAGAACCTCTGGATGTTTTCATGTAAAATCTCAGCATTTGTATTGATTACAAATTTATTTCTCTTCTTGAATAAACATTGTAATAACAGCTGGATGTGATGAATCCAGTTTCCGGTATCTGCTCATGTTCTGATCTACAGTCCATAAATGTAATGCTCACAATAAATTACAAACCAAATAGAGATCATCTATGTCTTTGGTAGCCCTGCTTCCAAAACAATTCACAATAAGTGTCATGCACTTTACAAAAAAATTTAATTGTGAGATAACTTGTTTACAAGCAGGAACACGCATTTCATAGACGTTTTGACACAAGCTTCCATATATGGCAATCTACCTAGCTAGAAGCCTCAACTCAATGGAATTTTAAACTGAATATACGTCCATACTGCCTATAGCCCAAAGCCCTCTGGGCAGTTCACAACATTAAGTCACCCATCCAAACGCTTGAATCAAAGTCATTTAGAAACCTCACCAGCTTAAAACCAGTTTTGGCACTTTGGGCATGGAGTTGTTTGCTTGTCAACCCTTCATAGCTGGTTGGTAGTGGTGTATAGAGGTTAGGCATTCCAGAATCTTAGCTGCAGCCTTCATTGCTTTTTGTCAATGAAAACTGTTAAGCTGTTTTAACTCGTAACACAGAAACTGCACTACTCTTCTGTGTTTGCATTCCCACACAAGCTAAATTTAACGAAGACAGTATTTCCATCACAAATGAAGCTATTTCCGTTGTGTTTTCGATACTTTTGGGAATGGGGGACACATCTATGTTTAGTAGGAGCAAAGCAGGGTGTTGAGGACAGGGCACTTGGAAGTCATTCATAGGAGTAGCATGACACATAACGAAACGTTGAATACTTAATATGTATCTAAATGTAAATACTTGCTGGGAAATTGTGCAAGAATCACATTTTGTATGTTAGTCCGAACAGAAGATGGATTAAAGCAGCAGCCTCGAGCTTGCAGAAACAGCGGAGCTATCCTCAACAGAACACTTTGGAAGGCTGCCATAGGGTTGCCATAAATCGGAGGCGACTTGACTTTAGTAACTGCTACTTCACCAAAAAGCACTCGTCTTTTAGGATTCCTTTACGGTGCAGTGAATTTAAAATTCGTATCAACTCGAAGGCTCAAAGGTCTGAGAAATCCCAGTTTTTTTCGGTGAAAATAAACTATCAAGTATATGGTGAGTAAGCAAGAAGGTACCTACCGGAGGAGCGAAGGTGAGCAGTTGCTGTAGTTCTGTAACTAAAAGTGGCTCAGACCGGGCTCCTATGTTATGTTAATATCATAGAGAAGTGCTCTATCGTCTTCCGTGCTTCTCGGGGTCCGCTTCCTTTGAAAAGGAAAAGTTACTAAGGGTTAGCTTTTCCTTGAATTTGGGCTTCCCTTGAACAGTAAATCGGAGAAGCGACACTTCTGAAGAATTCCTCCGATTGTTGGGGAGTGGGTCTTTTTTTCCTGTTTAGTATCGGCCTGGCTTGATTGGTAAATAAAAACTTTACAATACCTGTAGTTTTAAATACCTGGGGAAAATTCTTGGGCTGCATTTTAAACAATGCAAAGAAGCACGTGCTTGACCGCTCGTTCCGTTACTTGATTCTCAAATTTTGCAAAGTCTGGTGTGAGCAAACGTTAAAGGTACACATATTTTGACGCCATTGCGCCTCGGCCCTCTTATCCAATTATGTTCGTTTTCAGAGTCACGTTCTTATGCAAATATAGATAATTCTGATTGGAGAATGAAGGGACGATTGGACGGAGGTGGGAAAGGAAGAGATCCGCCTCGCTTCTACCTTATCTGGGCCTTGCTGAGAGATCGCATGACTGCAATGGAGAACACAATGCCGCTGCGGACGTAAGCAGGATTTCCGTACTTGGGAAAGCTCCGTGGTCTTTTGTTGGAGAAAAGCCAGGCCGAGTATATGCCTGAAAAAATACTTTCTGTAGGCCTAAGAGTTCGATTCAGCGGACCTTGGCCGCCCACGTGGAAGGAGGAGGATTCCCCTCCGCTCGTGGAAACTGCTGCAGAATCCAAGGGTCAATTATAGATCATTCTGATCGTGAATCGGAGAGAGGAGCGGGCGAGAAAAAAGGCTGGAGAGTAATGAGGGATTAGGGTACCCATCGCAGATTCTGGTAGCGTAATTTAGTATCGTTTAAATTGCGTGGGTTTGCACTATCCCGTCGAAATTGGCACGCTAGATCGCGCTGGCAAACGAAAACTTCCATCACGGCGTTTGTTTTGTTATTGTGTGCAGTACACTAAAGTGACTGGGCTTTTATTGCTTCAGAAAATCTGAAATGTGGAGATATGTCATATGTTGTGGAGAAAACGGAGCAAAAGTGTTATGTTATCTTGGCAGTATGATCTGCATTGTTCAGTGATTTATCAGAAACTGACCCCCTCTTCTAAAGAGTAGAGGTGTGGATACTTCTAAAGAGTACAGGTGTGGATACTTATTTGAGAGATTAGAATTCCAATCTTATCTCCACTCAAAGTGTCAATTAAATGAGCTAGAAACTAGGACTGGTGTATTATACTGTAATAGTGATAACTCAAGAGTGAGCAACAGGTGGCCCTCCAGATATTTTGGCCTATAATTTCTGTGATCGCTTATCATTAGTTATCTGGTCCACCCTTTTATTAAGATAATCATTACTGTCTGTATTGTTCAATTCCATCTGACAGCACAGCTCACATCTTGCTGTACTTTCCTGTTGCCTCCGGCAGATGTATATAAAGGTATTCTGATGGTTAATAGGTCATGTGTCAGATGAAGTACTACAAAAGCCTTATGCCAAAATACAATTGTTAAGTCTGTATCAGTGACTTTACATCGATACTGTGTTCTGTCATGTTGAAAGAGAAATGGTTCAGACTCCCCTAAATACAAGTAAGATGGAACAAGTTGTTGGACAGGCAGTGTTCACTCTCATCCAAGGCAAATTAATGGCGAAATGAAGTGATTCCCAAAAAAGAAGGGTAGGAATATTGACCATCTAGAGAGGAAGAGATCACACCTCTCTAAGCAAGTGGTTTCATCTCTGTAGGGATCCAGCTGATTGCCAGTGTTAAGGATTATTAGTTATATACATTGTTTTTCTTTTAAAGCTTGTTTCACTCTGAGCTCCTGAAGAACCTTGCCCTTTCCTTTTATTGCTCTGCCATGAACTGAAAACCTGCAGACGGAACCCGCTCCCTATTTGTTGTGCCTTTGGAGGAATAGCTTGAATGGTTGTTTGCTTGTCTTGGGGAAAACAAGCTGCTATGGCAGAGATGTGAGAATCTCTGTTCAAGTCATAAAGCTTTTCTTCTCACCCATTTGTTGCTTTAAATGAGGGCTGATTCACACATATCTCATTCAATGATTTATCACTTGTGGCTCAGGATACAGAGTGCCTTTATTGAAAAGCACTGCGTACAAGATAATACAAAAGTGCTGCTTGGAGTGATGGCTGTTTAATTAGCCAGAAACTCACACAATACAGTGACATTGCTCTGTGCTGCTTTTGATTGATGTACATATAGGTTAATGTACATATGATGCCTTCCCCCAGCTTCCTCCTAGCTTTTGTGCTGTTTTCCCCCATTTTATAAAATGTTGAAATGCTTCTCCTAAGATTTGATTATTGCCAGGAAAAGATTTAAGCTGAAATGTATTTTTAACCCTTCTTGCTGTTCTCTTGTCCATCACTGGAATACAGCCCTCTAGAGGTTCTCCGAAATTAAATTTCGTGCTTGGACTGAAAAAAGTCCTCCACCACTGCTATATAGCTATCTTCTCCCTAAAATATCACTAAAAATCAGTGTAGATTGTGATTCTGTGACTTGTAATGTCAGAATGGTGATGTTCAACCTATAGATGCTTGAGCTAAGAGGAAAAAGTCTTCCTGTTTTTAGGATCCATTGTATGGAAAATTGATTGATGAACATGGTTGATTAAAGGGGTTCAGTAGTCTTGACCCATTAGCAGTGCAATTCAGTGCATACTTTCTTGTAAATAGTGTCAAATTCATAGAATTTACGTTTAAGACTCAGTATTATTGAGTATTATTGGGCTGTAAGATTTGGAAAGACCAGGGCATATAGCCTGACTGTCATCAGAATAAATGACTATATTTTTCTGATATTTTGTCAATTCTATTGTGCTTTATAAGGCATTATATTTATAGGTTACACAGTAACAGCCACTTATCTTTACTCAGAAGCCTAAGGAAGGAGATGGAAGGAATCTTGAGCCCTAAAGAATCTGCCAAGTTTATAGCAGAAAACAGCAAAGATGTGTCCATAGAAGATGACGGTATACGAAGAATTGCAGAAATGCTGTTTGACAAAGTCTTAGAGAAGCAGTTCAGCATAACCAGCTGGAAGTCCTCTCATGAGCTGAACCCTCAAGCAGTGACTGAAGATGCAGTGAACTGGGTGTTCCTTGTTGATGCCCTCAATTTTTCTTTTTGGTCTGAACATGAAGATCATAAATGTCTAGTGAAGTATAAGGGCAAACCCTACAGTGGCTACTGGTCTCTTTGTGCAGCAGTCAACAGAGCACTCGATGAAGGTTAGTTCCCAGTTTTCCAAATTTAATCAGAACCTGTGGGTCAATTACCTGAATTTAAAGGGGGCAAGCTTCATTTATGGCAAGATTTTATTGCATTGTCATTTTCAAATGTGGGTCCCCATTTGCAGTTGATTGTACAGGTAACAAAGCATGAGCTTCAATATTATTTTTAAACAAGTGTGACTTTTTGTACATTATATGCTGATCCATAAGCTCTCAGGGTCACACTACACATTATATATGAGGCATGAAGCTACCTTTATGTCTTCCTCTTCCTCAAAAGTAAGAGCGGGCCTACAGCCTAGATTGGGGCTACAGCGTGTGGGCAGTCAAGTTTAATCTCTTTCTCCCCACTCATGAACCCATCCCCTGGAATTCCTCTTCCTTGTGTGGCAATTAGGGATAGTAAACAGAAATGAAAAACGTTTCATTTAAAAGTTTAAATAGAAAAAAAGAGTTTCTTTTTTTAAACTAACCCATGAGTGCAGGGGGTATTCTATGATGGGGTGGTAGAGAGGGAAGGATTAAACTTCATGTCTTCTAGGCTGCATCTGGACTGGAACATCTTGAATTACTTCTCAGGCAAGAGAAAATACAGCTGTGCTCTGTATATGTAACATAACAAATGTGTCCCTGTTCCAGAAGGCCAGCTCAGGATCATAAGAATTCACAGGATTTTGCTCTCTGCCTGTCTCCACTGAGCATTGTTCCAATGTTTCTGTAGTTGTTAGGTGGAGAAACCTGCAGGGAAGTTTCATGGAAGCCAGCTGGTGCATGAGGTAGCTGTAGCTGTGGATTGGACAGCAGCTGCCTCTTTTAATCTCATATTTTCTTTATTCTCAGTCCAACCCTTTAGGAAGGAAGCATAGAAATAGGGTTGGGCTGCACTGAAGTAATGCTTCAGACTGAAGGAAATTAGCAAGGGGGGTGTTGATTTCAGGGAAGCAAATGCCTTTGGATGCTTACAAGCAGTATTCCCCCATTGTAGCATTCCCTTATGGTTTATCCTCAGCATCTAGTGTTCAAGGGTACACTAGTTTGGAACATTGATGCTCTGTTGAGCTTTCATGGCTGAAAGAGGGGCTTCAAAGGGAAGAACTAAGTTCGAAAAAGTACAAGCTTTGGGTAGATATTGGCGAGAGGAGGAAATGTCTAAATGGCTTAGAATGAGAGAAAAGTTGCATCCCCACTTTTTGGAGGTATCAGCTGCTTTAGTAAATCTAAGTAAAATATGGGTAATGTTCCTATTGGTAGGGTTGACTAATGATTTGGTGATTATAAAATAATTGATAATTATAAAATTATGTTAGGAGTCCATGAGAATTTACTTTGGGGTGAAAATTGAGTGTTCTTAACTAGTTGTATGGCATACAGTTTCCAAACCAATAGTGGAAACTGCTTATGCCACTGGGGTGCTAGATTCATTAATTTACTGGTGGCAACTCCATGAACAGCATATTTTGCATTTAAAGATGGAGATAATTTCCACACAGGAATCACCTTCATAATGATCTGTGGGTAGGAAAATCTTTTGTCTTATACTGTGCCTATTTGTTGCAATGGAGAGAGGTTGTTAGCTGCTTTGAGAGGTTTAGCCTGAACATAGAAATAATAATCAGAAACACTCAAGAACAGCTGTTTTTAACAGAGAGGCAGACTACAAAGATCTGACTGTGTAATTGCTTTAATAATTGGTGAAGTTTAGCTCTGAAGATTTGCCATGCAGTTGAGATTTAAATAAACAGAGCTCTGTAGTATTGAATGGCTACTACTGTTATTTGTTACTGTTTTTACTTTCTGAAGGAATACCCATTACTAGTGCCTCATATTATGCTACTATGACACTGGAGCAAGTGAAGCATGCATTCCGCTCGGACACAGATGTTCCCATGCCTTTAATTGAGGAAAGGCATCATGTGCTGAATGAGACGGGGACAGTTCTCCTGGAGAAATTTGGAGGCTCTTTCCTTGCATGTGTTAAACAAAGTGGGAAAAGTGCCCAGAAATTATTACAAATAATAGTGGAAAATTTCCCATCCTTTAGAGATGAGGCTATATTTCAGGTAAGCTTTTGTGCTTTGCAATATTAAGTGTTGCTGACCAGAGTACACCATTACATATTGTGAAAATGATGGTTAAGGATTTGTGGCCACGGTGGCAGTGATCACCCATTTTAGGAGAGAATTGTCTTCATCCAGTTGGATTTGTAGCATAAATCTTTTTCTTTACTTCTTACATGTTTGTAACTTCTAACAGTAAACTCTTGCACTTCCATCTAAGAGATGTGTAGATGGGATACCAGACCATGGCATATTGTAATCATAGTTCTGAACCGAGTCATAGCTTGAGCAGTCGAATAGTCAGGGAAGCTGTGATTCAGAGCTCCTTGTCTGCTTGTTTCCCATATGCTCAGTGGTTTCATATCTCAGGGTATTAGTCTCAGGAGCTGTAACTCTGTCAATTCAGGCACTATCTCAAATCATAGTATGTTTTTTTAAAACACACCCCAAATAATGCTTTCTGATTTTGGTTTGCCAGTTAATTGCAAACCATGGTTTGTTGCTACCAAATCACATTTTAAGTACAATCCTCCGCACAACTGTTCAGAAGCAAGTTCTGCCAAGTTCAATGATACTTTCTCCAAGTTAAATCTGTATAGGATTATAGCCTTAAGCTTCCTTAACCAGGGTTTCGTATGATCCTTGAACTGAGCTGGTTTCTAAATATTCATAACAAAAAAATCAGATTTGAAAGAAAACTACACTATGCTAACAGCAGGTTACTTAGTTTGTACTGGGAAGTATCCAGTTGGAGAGAAGCACTAATGTTAAATATGTTGTGTTAATATACGGATCTTCTAGTACACAAATATCATTAGCTGGCATGTTCATTTTTGAGGAATCTTATGCCAGCTAACACTATGGGCCCCAAATTAGAGGTTCCTTACACTAACACAACAAAATTGATGTTTGCACTTATGTCCAATTGGGTACTGTTTTTTTTTTGCTATGTGTAGTGCTTAATCATTTGGCCAATCACAGATAATTAGCATATTGTATTGAAATGTAGTAATTTATTTATTTAGAATATTTATATGCCGTCTTTCCACAGAGCCTCAGGATGGCTTCCATAAATAAACAAAAATAGTAATAAAAACATAATACAAATAAATTCCAGATCCACCCTGGCTGCAGATTAAAACATAAATAGCCAATATTAAAAGTTATTAAAATATTGTTGAAATAAAAAGGTCTTAGCCTGGTGCCGAAAAACAAATAACGACAGTGCCAGGCAGACCTCTTGGGAGCGCATTCCATGGGCAGGGCACCACCACAGAGAAAGCCCTCCTCTGGGTACTTTGCCTCCTAATATCTTTCATGGAAGGAAAGATATTATATTTATATTCAATGGATATAAATACACACACACACACACACACACACAATTAATTTATATTCAATGGATATAAACTCCTCACTGACTAGTGGACATGCATATATGATGCCATTTGGCATTGCTGCAATTTCAAATAAGAATAGCACATGTATGCAGTTCTGAGTAATCTGCATAATGTATTGGAATTGCAAAGTTTGAGCACTCGGTTGTAGAATTTTAGTGCTTTTCAATGCAAAATTTCAGTTCTCAACAAAATGAGAGTGAGTTCAAGTTCAAGTTTCTGTGAAGCTGCTTTCATAGATTTATCATGTAATTTCTTCCTATCTTATTTCATTTACTTGGGCAAGGGCTGATGCCACAAGAAGGCAGAGCAGAAAAAATATTTTAGATTCATAGGAGGCACCATCATTTTTTGTTAGGTGACAACTCTGCATAAAGCAGGGAATAAAAACATATCGGTCCCTAAACATAAATGCAAGAGCACCAGAGGGGAGGTGATGTGTATGTGGTGGAACAACATAGGTGAAAAACATGTGCCTGTGTTGGTAAGAAATCAGATTTTGACAACATCAAGAGCCTTCCAATGCAGTGACAATGCAGAGCCTTCCTGTACATTTTCTCAGGACAAAAGGGTCTGCTTTAGTTCCCCATCCCCCAACTTATTTACTTGAGTATGGATTTATATGCCACTACAATAGTCCATATCTGGGCTCTCTGTGTGGCTCACATATGGGTGGGCTGCTCAATGATGACACCCTTCCAAGGGTCAGCCCAATGTTTCTATATAGGAGAACATTACAGAAGTGAAACCCACATACCACATAAGAGGTCCTAACTGAACACATGAAGAATTTCCTTACAGTGCTACAGATTTCTTGCACTAGGCAAAACGAAGAATGATCCACTGGACTGGGGTTACTTATGTGATAAGTAGATTTCAAATGTTAAATGCTTTCACATGGAATAAAGTCATATTAACATTATTTTTGGATGTGTCACTTTGAGAGATGTACAGTTTCAGTTAGAATAGTGGTTCCCCTACATCCTTTCTAAGGAGCCACTACCTAGGAGTAGTAATTTTTAATTAGAACATCAAGTATATTCATAACATTCTGAGAATCATAGAATAGTAGAGTGGGAAGGGACCAGAAGGCTGTTGGGTTCAACCCTATGCTCGGTGTAGGACTCTCAGTTAAACCATCCCTCTGAGAGACATCCAGGTGCACCTTGAATACTTGTAGTGTGGGAGAGCCCACAACCTCCCTAACTGGTTCCATTGTTGTACTTGTTGTACTGCTCTAACAGTCAGGAATTTTCCTGATACCTAGCCAGAATCTGGCTTCCTGTAATTTGAGCCTGTTATTCCATGTCCTGTACTCTGGGATGATTGAGAAGGATCCTGGTCTTCCTCTTTGTGACAGCCTTTCAAGTATTGTTACAAAGGCGGGTGGGATTGCTAATTGGATTGGGATGTGTTGGGGGTGTTTTTAGGTGTTTTTAATGTGCTTTTAGCTTTTTTTTTTTTTAAATGGAGTCATTTTCAGCTATGAATATGGGGTTGCCTGGGGAGCATGTGGGCGCCGCCATTGGGGTGTTCATGGACAATGGACGTTATGGCGTTGGGGGTCTAACGTGTCCGCGTAGAAGAAGGAGGGACAGATGGCTAACACCTGTTCCTCTTTCTGGTTATTCCCCCAGCCTGAGGGTTCCAGGTAGTCCTGTCAATTGCCCCCCAGGCCTTTGGTGCTGCTGCTTAATGCCAGGTCGGTCCACAATAAATCATCCCTCATCCATGACTTGATTGTGGATGAGGGGGCCAACCTGGCTTGCATTACAGAGACCTGGGCGGAAGAGGTGGGGGATGTCTCCCTCTCTCAACTGTGCTCGCCCGGGTATCTGATCTAGCACCGACCATGCCGGGAGGGGAGGGGAGGGGAGGGGAGGGGGGTCGCTTTGGTTTACCGAGCCTCTATTTCCCTCACGGGGCTTCCTGTCCTCTTGAGGCCAGGTCTAGAGTGCCTCTACTTGGTGTTGGGCGACCGAAACAGACTGGGAATTCTGTTGGTGTACCGTGCACCCTTCTGCCCAACAGACTCCCTGCCTGAGCTGATGGAGATCATCTCAGATTTGGTGTTGAAGACTCCCAGGATGTTGGTCCTGGGGGACTTCAATCTCCACGCCGAGACGGTTCTGACCAGGGTGGCTCAGGACTTCATGGCCTCCATGGCGGCCATAGGGCTGTCTCAACATGTCATTGGCCAGACCCATGAACGTGGACACACTCTGGACCTGGTTTTCTCAATGGGGCAGGAAGAGGGTGATCTGAGGGTGAGGAACTTGTGTCTGACACCCCTGTCATGGTCAGATCACTTCCTCGTGAGGTTTGAGCTCGATGGCGACCTTTCCCTCTGTAAGGATGCGGACCCGATTGTGCTGGTCTGTCCCCGGAGCTGGATGGATCCGGAGGGATTCCTGAAGGCCGTGGGGGATTTTCCAGTTGATAAGGCTGGTGCTCCTGTCAATGCCTTGGTTGAACTATGGAATGGGGAAATGACCAGGGCTATTGACACGATTGCTCCTAAGTGTCCTCTCCCACCTGGCAGAGCCCATTCATCCCCTTGGTATAGACCTGAACTGCACGTTGGGAGATATCTAGAGCGTTGGTGGAGGAAATCACGGGATGAATCTGACTGAACAAACTTAAGAGCCCATTATCGGGCCTATGCTGTGGCAGTGAGGGCGGCAAAGAAGAAATTCTTCTCTGCTTCCATTGCCTCCTCACAATGCCATCCAGCGGAGCTCTTCCGGGTGGTACAGGGGCTGGTACACCCAGGCCCAAAGAAAGATCTCGTGCCACCCTTGAAGGCCTGCTGTGACAACTTTGCCAAGCATTTCAGGGAGAAAATCGCTCAGATTCGTCACGAGCTGGACTATACTATTGAATCAGATCCTACTGGGGAGGTGCCAATGTTGCCATCTGGTCCACAATTGATGAGTTTCAATTGTTGCGGCCTGATGATGTGGACAAGGTGCTTGGACAAGTACGTCCCACCACCTGCTTACTGGACCCTTGCCCATCTTGGCTACTCAAGAAAGCCAAGCACGGGATAGGGGCCTGGATCCTGGAGGTTGTCAACGCCTCTCTAAGGGACGGCAGGGTACCTGCCCCTTTAAAGGAGGCGGTAGTCCGGCCAGTCCTAAAGAAGGCATCCCTGGATCCAGAGGTGGCTGCCAATTACAGACCGGTGGCCAACATCCCATTCTTGGGCAAGGTGTTAGAGCGGATGGTGGCGAGACAACTCCAAGCACTCTTGGATGAAACTGATTATCTGGACCCATTTCAGTCCGGCTTCAGACCCGGGTACGGTACTGAATCTGCCTTGGTCGCCCTGTACAATGACCTGTGCAGGGAGAAGGACAGGGGGAGTGCGTCCCTGCTGGTTCTTCTGGACCTCTCAGCGGCTTTCGATACCATCGACTATGGTATCCTTCTGGATGGACTTGCGGGATTGGGAGTTGGAGGCACTGCTTTGCAGTGGTTCCACTCCTATCTCAATGGCCGATTCCAGAAGGTGGTGTTGGGGGACTATGGCTCTGCGCCATGGCAGCTATGCCATGGAGTTCCGCAGGGGTCCATTTTGTCCCCCTTGCTATTCAACATCTACAT